GGACACGTGTCGCGCGCTGATTCGTTCACATATTCCTTCCTGGACACTTATTCGCACCTGAGTGCATCCCTATATATATATATATATATATATATATATATATATATATATATATATATATATATATAACAATAATTATATATTTTGCCAAAAAAATTAATAACAATAATTATGACCCCAAAAAAGTGTAGTACTAAAAGATATAGTAATTATAGAAATTAGTCAAATTACCGTCCACGTGAATGTGTGATGTGTTGGAAAAAAATAACTTAAAATGACATAAAATGGCATGTTAAGTGGCTATTTTGTGGTACAATTATCGGTGGGGTCCACTTCCGATCTGGGTCGGGTCAAAGTGGATTTGGGTTCTTCGTAGTGAGACGAAGAGATTGATATATTGTACGCTCAAAACGGATAATGGGTGAATGAGATATTGATTCATTTTTATTTATTTTTTAATTTTATTTATTTATTAAAATATATATTATATATAAAAAATAATAAATTAAAAAAAAAAAAAACAAAACAAAACAAAACAAAAATACAAAGCTGGTTTTTTTAAACGCACAAAGCTGTTTATGTGGCTGTGTTTTTATTTTATTTTATTTTATTTTATTTATTTTTTTATATATAATATATATTTTAATAAATAAATAAATAAAATTAAAAAAAAAATCTTTTAAAATGACACGTGTCAACAATGTGAAGATTTAACCTATTAAACAAGTCACTTTGGACTTAATTGAACAATTATACGGGTTTAGAGGATCTGAATGGAGCTTTTTTTAGTTAGGGGACCCAATTGCACTATCCGGTCGACTTAGGGGCCAATTTGACACTTTTCCCAATTATATATATAACTAATGTAAATTTTATTTTGGAGAAATCGCACTTTTGGTCCCTCAATTAGCGCCCGATATGCAATGTGATCCTCACTTCCCAATTTTGACAGAATTGGTCCTCCTGTGAACGGTGTTAAACAGATTAACTCACAGAAGGACTAAATTGACTAACGGTGGAATAATTGAGATGACATGTAGTGGCATCTTCCATGTAAGAGAATATGAGATTGAACTTCAGTAGAGGCGTTGTTGACTTTTTGTGCTTCATTAGATTGACTTTTTATACTATTCATGATCAATAAAATTGTTGTTTTCAAGTATATTTATTATTTTACAAGTAGAAAATAAATCACATATAAGTATTCAATTGATCTTTAACATACGTATGTTATTTTTTTTATTTTAAATGCTACTAGCTCTATTACATTGTAGTATCTGTTCATATACTTTCTCAACCTACTGAAACACAAAGAGCTAATAACGCCTCCATTGAGGCTTGAACTCACAACCTTCCTAATGGAAGTCCAACCCGGGTACCATTGGACCACATAGTCCTGGTACATATGTATGTTATTTATTGTTTTTAATTTATTACCTATTTTTAATGACAAACTGTAACTCATAGAATTATCAAAATTAAATCATCATATACACATCCTTAAAATGTTTATTAATAAGTTCATATGGTATTCTCATTGATGAATGAATGTTGCACCATCCTATACGTACAAAAAAAAAAAAAAAAAAAACAAAACAAAACAAAACAAAAAACAAAAAGAACGAAAGGATGAAAAAAATGATAACTTTGAAGATACATTTTTTATTAGGGTTGTTCATAGCGTATAACGCAATACGCTTTTCATATGCAACGGTTGATTATGAAAACTCATGTGATGATAACTTTAAGGTACCAGTAATTCATGTTGATAGTTGTGAGAGGTTTGAACGACCTTCTCAAGAGTGCTGGATTGCAATAACATATGAACCACCTTCTTCAGATCTAGATGTGATGTTTCATGTTGACTCCAATTATACGCCACCAAAAGTGACTCCGGAGTGTTGTTACAATATTAAAAGAATGGGCAGGAAATGCTACTTTGAGTGGGCCGAACTTCAATCAGTGGCTGAAACGTTTGATATTAATGGTTCAGGGCATGAAAGGTACGATGCGGCTGGACAAAAATTATGGGATGTCTGTCAATCTTAAAGAATAACAACAACAACAACAACAATAATAATAATAATTTAATAATTTCTTATTGTGCATTCGTGAATAATTAATTATGTATTCAGTTGTAATGTTTAATTGTGTATTCAGGAATCAAGATTTCACATAAAATATTATTCAAATGCATATGATGTATGTTATTCTTCACATTTATTTTTATTCTTACATATACATGATAAGAGTCTAAAAGTTTATAATTTCACCTTGCATTTAAGCTTATTTTCCTTGTTATTTGTTATATTTTTGCCCAAAGTCTCCTCATTTGATTCATTTGTGTGTTTATGTGTAATTCTTGATGATTTAGATGAATTGAGTGATTTTTGGGGCATTTTGGATGCTTGTAGAGCCAATGGGAGTCAATGAGAAGCTATGAAGATGGAGAAACACCTTTTAAAGAGCCAAATTATGGTGTGTTTATTGGTCTTGATCATTTGGACAAACAAAGACAAAAGTGGAGCAAAAGAGCAAGAAGTTGAAATTCCCACACAAATTGTCCACTGCTCGGTTTTTTGATCATATCTCTACTTAGGAATGTCCAAACCAAGTGAATTTTATATCATTGGAAAGCTAACTTGAAGGGCTACAACTTTGATTCAAGAATCAAAGGCTAATTCAAAGGTTTTGAGGGTGAAAATTGACCTAGAAGACGACCTCAGTGCACAGGCAGTGCACACTGTTTGTGGCCACGGGTCTGGCCACGGCCGTGGCCACACCCGTGGCCACTGGGCAGTGTGCCCTGCATTTCTGGCCACGGGTGAAGCCACGCTCGTGGTCACACCCGTGGCCAGCCCTCTGCAACTTTTTGCAGCACGTTTTGACCCCTTTTAAGGAGATTTTTTCACCCCAAAACACATCTTTCATTACATCTTTCATTTCTCTAGTTAGGGTTAGTTTAGAATAGCTTAGATTTGTGTTTCCTTTCCATTTTCAAGCTCAAGAACATTGCAAATCTTGGATTTCAGGGCTTCAATAGAGAAGTTTTATTATTCATCTCTTCTCTTTACTTTTCATCTATGCTTTCAATTTCTCTTTTAATATTGTGTATCTATTGTTATATTATGAGTAGCTAAGTGTTTTGGGACTAGGATTTGGTTTGATTTCTTGCTATTGATGCCTGTTTGAGTTGTATTGCATAAAGGAGATTATTTGGGTGGTCTAGGGTTATTGTGTGAAATGGGTTTGTTGAGAAATTTGTGTATGATTGTTGGATCCCAATTATATGCTTGATTTGGAGTGTGTTTGTTGCTACGAGAGTAGAGCTTGTACACTAGCCACACATTCACACACTTAATACCCAATACGAGAGTATTTTGGGTGTTAAGGGGAATTTTTGCCTTGTGTTCTTGTGTTGGGCATCCTTGGGTTGAATTGTCACGAGAGTGGAGTTCAATGTGAGGTTGAAAGTCCAAATAGCTACGAGAGTGGTATTTGGACACTTTTGTGCATCTCACTTACCCTATGCCTTGATTTAGTTCTCTAATCTTTAGTACAATATTTGGCATCTTAGCTTGAATCAACTAAGTCCCGGTCCTTTGTTTTACTTGTCTTATTTGTTTTTAGCCTAATCTTATCAAACCAACTCATTAAGAATTTGTCTAGCTTCTATAAGGATAGTTTTAGCTTGTGCTTAACTCCGCTTTGCATCAATTCCTAACATTACAAGAGCCATCTCCAGTGGAACGATATCTAAACTCTATACTGTAATTTGATACTTGATGGATGCTTGAAAAACTTTCATATCAAATTTGGCGCCGTTGCCGGGGATGGCTTGGTTTTGATTGCTTTGTGGTAGTTAACATTGGTGAATGACTATTCTAGGAGACTAGACCATTTTTTTTTCTTTGTTTTTATTTCTTTTTATTTGCCTTGTGTGCTTAAGTGCTAATTGCTCAATCTTGTTTGGGATTTTCGGATGAAGTTGCCTTGCTCAGTGCTTTTAATCTAGATCAAGGAGTAGTTTGGTACTCTATCCACCCAAAGAAGAACTTTCAATATGTATGGGTATGAGTATCAAGGATCCTTACCACCATTCCAAATTCCTCCTTATGGATACGAAATGAATTGGAATATGAGCCAAACATATGGAGGAATGGAACAACAAGAACCACATCTCAATCTTGCCTACATGAGTCAAGAACCTTTTCAAGGAGGCACACCATCATTTACTATGCCACAACCTTTATGGTGCACCATTTGTGGAGGAGCACATGATGCCGAAAATTGCTATACATTGGCTCCTAACTACCAACATTTGTGCCAATTTCAAATGCCCTCTTACCAAGAGCCTCAACAAGGATATCAATCCCTTGATCAAGAGCCCGAGATGATGTCCAAGTTGATGAGTTTGATAATGCAAACGTCTTCAGGAGTGGATGAGTTACAAACTCAATCGGAAAACATGATGGCTCAAGTACAAAGTTGGGCAACTCAAGAGCCGATTCAAGATTCATTGTCCAATGAAGAGGTTCAACAAGATATTCCCTTATCTAATGAAGGGGATGAGGTTGATGGAAATGAGAATGTAAGGGAAAATCTTGAAAATGGAGTGCTTAAGGAGTATCTTGAATCCAATCATTTGAATGAAGAAGATGACAAGATTGAGACTCAAATTGAGATTGAAGATAATGGTGCCAAGGAACCTTTGCTATATGACCCATTTAAAGAAGAACAAGAAGTTAATGAGAGTGAAGTTGATAACATGGAAGGTGAATTTGATGAATGCCCTCTAATGAATGATACTCTCATTAGTGAAGACTTTAGAAGAGTGTGGGAACCGGGAGGAGTTGATGTTCTTGAAAGTGGAGGCCCACATTGGCCTATATTCATATCAAAGGATTCCAAATTCTTCTTGGTTCATGAGAGAGACCCAAGATTCTCATTGATTGCTCAAGAAGTGATAGGTCATAAAGAGAAAAGAAGAGGAGGGCAAAGAATGAATCACTCTCATTTCTATTATCAAGATGAATTATTTGGGAAGAAATCTATGTTGAATTTATGGGTCAAAAATGGATTTGAGGATGAGAGAAACATGAATTTTGATGTGGAGGAATGTCAACTTTTGAGCCTTGGAGTGGTGAATTTGAGCCTAAAAGAATTTATTGATGACCACCATTTGAAGAAATACCTAGACGGCAAGGTTGATAGGAAGGTGGGAATTTTTCTCCTCCAATCCATTGATGGTTGAACACTTGAGAGGTTGAGTCGAGCTAGCGACGTTAAACTTAGCGCTTCATGGGAGGCACCCCATGTTATCTTTTACTTTATTGCATTTTATTTTCTGTTTTTTTTTTTTTATATATTTTGATTTTGATATATTATGCTTTCACTTGTGCTTTTATGTGTATATTCCCTTGACTCTAGGAGTGACACTAAGGAGTATACTCAATTTCAAGAAGGCTTCATTATGATTCTTTGGCACAAGAAGATTCATTAGGGGAGTCTCATCTACATTCTCTACTTTTTTTTTTAAATGTGTATAATGCTTTACTTTGTATAGATAGTAGAGATTGTGCTCCTTGTGCTTATTGTGCCACCATTTCCCCCTCGTGCTTTATTTTCTTTCACATCGAGGACGATGTAGCCTTTAAGTGTGGGGGAGGGGATAATTTGGGTGTTTTCTAAAAAAAATGAACTTTTTGAAACCTTGATTGGATGACTCATTGTGTTTTGTGTTGAATAAATTGTCTTTATATACTTGAATTTGTGATTACTCCCCTTTGTTGGTTTGTGGTTTGCTTGGTGGAACTTGTTACAATGCAACTTGTGATTGATGAGTCAAGGTGTAACACATGATTGATCTATTCCCTTGCCAATGACCTTGTTAACCACCTAATAATTGAATAAATTCTTGATCTTGTGTGTTGTGCATTGCTAGTGAAGGCTTATGTGAGATTCCGGTAATGGTTGTTTTGCTAGAACTTGCCTCATTACTCTCTAAGTAAATCTAAGATTTGCATGTTTTGAAATGATTTAGGCCATTTTTGTTTAGCTCAAGCCTTTAAGCCTACCCTTGTACACATATGTTTACCCCTAGTTGTTCCCGTTGAGCCTTTTGTGTTTGTTCAATAAGTGCTAAGCACCTAATCCCCTTTGTGTTTGTTCTTCTTGTGTTAACTCTTGTCATTTAACCCTTAAACCTTAGCCAAAATGTTTCCCTCCACCCTTGAGAGAATAGTGCACTTGTTCTTTTTCTTGGAAGTGATTCTTTTTCTTTTTGGAGCTTGTTTTGTTAGCAACACTCTCTATAATGTTATCTAAGTGTGATGGTCTAGATTTATTGAAAGAGTTTCTTTGTTGATTTGAAATTTAAAAAAAAAAAAAAAAAAAAAAAAAAAGTCATGAAAATGTTGAAAAGATATGAAGAAATGAAAAAGAAGAAGTTCAATAAAAGTTTGATAGTTTGCTTTGAAAATTGTTCTCAACCTCCACTACTTTAGAGTGTTACTTTGTGTTTAGTTGTTAGTTGCTCCTTAGTTCTTTGATGCCATATCTCTTCCAATCTCAATTCTGAATAAGTGTGAAGTTCTCTCTTTTATTTGATTTCCTTACCCCTTCTTTGTCAACCATTCACCCTTAGCCTCATTACAATCCTAATAAAAGTCCTACTTGATCTTAGCATGCAATCTTAGAGTTGAACTAGTGAGAGTATGAAGGGCAAGCCTATGGAATCTCATTCAAAGCCAAGTTTTGCATAATCTCAACTTAGTATTTGTGCACACTTGATCCTCACGTTCTACAATAATAGTGCTTGGTTATTGGCTTGAGAATGGAACTTGTGTGGAATGCTAAGATGATTCTTGAAACAAGTTGTGTTGTGTCGAGTTGGATTGTGGTTTGTTAAGTTGTGCAAAGTGGGAGTATGATCAACTTCAGTGCTATATTGGTGGTTTAGTCCTTGTTTTTGCTTGAGGACAAGCAAAGGTTTAAGTGTGGGGGAGTTGATAAGAGTCTAAAAGTTTATAATTTCACCTTGCATTTAAGCTTATTTTCCTTGTTATTTGTTATATTTTTGCCCAAAGTCTCCTCATTTGATTCATTTGTGTGTTTATGTGTAATTCTTGATGATTTAGATGAATTGAGTGATTTTTGGGGCATTTTGGATGCTTGTAGAGCCAATGGGAGTCAATGAGAAGCTATGAAGATGGAGAAACACCTTTTAAAGAGCCAAATTATGGTGTGTTTATTGCTTGGTGAAACTTGTTACAATGCAACTTGTGATTGATGAGTCAAGGTGTAACACATGATTGATCTATTCACTTGCCAATGACCTTGTTAACCACCTAATAATTGAATAAATTCTTGATCTTGTGTGTTGTGCATTGCTAGTGAAGGCTTATGTGAGATTCCGGTAATGGTTATTTTCCTTATTTTCAGGTAGAAAACGCAGATTTTTATACCTGAAAACACAATTTTTTTTAAAGGATAAAAATCTCCTGTTTCGAATGTACAGAATTTTATACCTAAAAACACATAATTTTATAACTGAATACACATACATTTTCGTCGCGTTAATTTCTCATACAACTTATTAAAACGACGTCATTTTAGGAAGTGGTGCACGATATAACGATTGGTGTCTGTTATATACACCAATTCCAATTCAATTATTCCATTTGCATTTCCACTCCCTCATAGGTATATGCACCATATCCCTATATCATCGTCATTAACTTAACGTGTCTTCTTCTTCTTCATTTTTTTTTTTGAATGCTTCTAACTCTATTATATTGTAGTATATGTTCAAACATACTTTCTCAGACTAATGAAGTACACAGAGTCAACAACGCCTCCACTGAGGCTCGATCTCATGACCTCCTACATAGGAGAGGTCACTACATGCCATCTGAATTAATTAATAAATTAATAAATATTTTAAAGACATGTTTTGTTCCAATAAGTTCGTGAGTAAAAGTTTATTATTAAAAGTACATAATAATTTTTTTTTTGAAGACAGTACATAATAAATTAAAACCAATAAATAACTTATATATGTTAAACATAAATTGAATACCTATATGTTATTAACAAAACAGATAAATTATTAGCGAACCCCCTTCGATCTGGTAGCTTTTCTATACAGATCCCATACACAAGCCTGCTACCATTAATTCTTCAAGTGATTTGAAATACCTATTTGTTCTTATTTTTAACAGATTGGGAGAAAATTGATGTTTCAAAATAATTGAAGAAAAAATGCTATAACCACATAATTAATGGGAAAAAGTGTCATTTTCCCAACAAAAATTTCATTTTAAAATATTATTATTTATTTCAAAATTATATTTTATATTAAAAATTAAAGTAAAAAATAAAATTTTAAATTATAAGAATACAATTTATTTTAGTGTATAAATAGAATTTGGTGTAAATATGTTGGAGATGAAAACTTTTTTGTGTAAAAATATCCGGAGAATATTCTCTTTAGAATAAAATTTGGTGCAAAATTTACTACTTGTAATTCACTATCGGTAGAATTTTGCAAATTTTATTGAAAACTAGAGAATTGGGGTAATAGAAAGCATAAAACATATTTATTAACACAGTTTTTCCTTTTGAAAATTGTAAATATTTTATAGTTTTATAGAAAACTCAAAAACTTTTAAAACCTATTTCTAAATGAAAAACAACATATCTCTATTTGGTTATATATCACTACAAGTTTACAACCACATTATTACCATTATCTACTTATATATTTATTAATTATTATAATTACCTTCATTATCATTTTTTTTTACTTGACATCTTCTATCTCTTTTACTTACATCTACTTATATAAACATAATTTATTTACTTACGCTTAAAGTTGAAGATTATTCGTATGATCGCAACCCATTTTTTGTCTTTCTGGTCACTTAATATATGTAAATAATCTTGTGGTCTAGTGTCATGAAGTGACTCTTCAAAATGAGAGGTCATCATGGATTCGATCCCTAGTGGGGCAGTATTAACTCTTTGTACTTTAGTAAGTTGGTGATTTTAAGTCTTTGTGCTTTAGTAGTTATGGACATTTGGACACATATTAATAGTACTCAAAAAATATGAGAGATATATATAATATTGAATTCTACATTATACTTATATTATATACCAATTCCAATCTCAAAAAATATGAGCGAGAGATATATAATATTGAAGCATTGCCTAAGATATTTACATAGTAATAATAGAAGACCCAACCATCATACCTTCGGCCTCGATTTCCCCTCATCCCACTGTGTCTCATAAGGTCTAACTCGTCATCCAACTAAGGGTGAAATTACCGAGAAACTAATAAAATTGATAATCGATAGTCGAATTGATCGAAAATTATGATTTTTGATCAAGTTATCGATTATTAATTTTAAAAAATATTGATTATTTGGTAAGTCGGTTTTGACGTTTAAAATTACGATCAACAAATAACTGGAAACGAATTGCACATCATCTCTAGCTAGAGACAAAGTGCAGGCTTCATCTCCGACACACGATGAAGTGCAGGCTTTGTCTCTGGTTAGAGACGAAGGGGTGGAAAGGTGGGGTCGTTATTATTATTGTTGTTGTTGTTATATTTAAATCTAATAAAATAAATATATAAAATAATTTATTAAAAATTAACCGCAATGTCAGTGGTTAATTTGAAGGGTATGCCAATTTTGATCTAATACACATTTTTTTTTAAGTTTACACAAATATAATGTAATGAAAGATAAAGAAAACTATGATAAATGAAAAGAAAACAAGTCATCAACACAGGATAGCAGATTGTCATAGATACCCAATCTGTTTCTCTTCTCAACAAAATTCATCTTTTCCGGCAGATTGTCATGCCATCCCCGATTGGCACCTATTGAGAAACATCATTAAAGCTGTGCTTTTAAAACAAACATGTTCAAAAAACTGTGTAGGGAGGAGGGTATTATATGCATCCATACCATACTGATGTCTACGCGATTATCCTCCAACAATGTCCTATTGAAACTCCTTATGCTCATCGTCTTGGAATCGTTTACCTGCAACAACGTTTTTAGAACTAATAAGTGTTGGGTTTTATAACATCAGAAGTCAGAAGATGTCTGTCTGTATTACCAGCGGATCAGCAACTCTCCCGTGCCAAAGGACATTATCCACTACAACGACCCCTCCAACCCTTACCTGTAAATGTCGATGAAAGAAAGTGTTGTTTCCTTGTGAATTGCAAAAAAAATCGTCTATAGTTACACTCAGTAGTTTTAGTACAGAATTCCGGTAACAAAATAAAATAAATTATTTGTGTTACTAACCAGCTTTAGCAGCAACTCAAAGTATTCCTGATACATTTTCTTATCGGCATCAATGAACGCAAAGTCATAACTGCATAAAGTAGAAAATAACTCATCAGTGATATAAATAGTGTTGACAAATATGTTGAATTTGGAAGATGGAATGGCCTGGCGGGTGGTGAATAACACCACCCACCAGTTAGGCGGAAGCAATGATGAAGAATCAAGGAATAGAAAATGTATATAAGACTGAAATATATTAGTATTATATATGTTTAGTACATATATATATATACACAAAACTGTAAGTAACTACCCATAACTGACACCTATTCATAAACAGACACAACTCTATAGATAAACCTAACTCTTTAGTTTTCAACAAAATACTCCAAACGAGGGAAAACCACAGCAACGTAGGTGCAGTTAAAGAGCATGGTCAAAGGCCCTACAACTCGAGCCGGCTCGTTGATATATATAGTCAAATTGAATGGATTCAAGAATTCGAAATTAAGATATTTCGACTTAGAATACCTGCAGCCTTCGCCATTCTGAATCATGGACCGAAGAGTATCTGCTGCTATTCCATGTCTCACATCCACCTAGTATCATGTTCTCCAATCATAAGATGCCAGTAACTTCATCTTCAAGAACAACATCGTTTACAAAATCAAGGAAATCTCGTAAACAAAGATACACAAATCACCTTGCCTGACACACCCGCTCGGTCATAATATCTCTTTGCAACCTCGATTGATTTTTCGTCTCTCTCACAAGCAACTAAACGGCCTTGCTCTGGAAGAACTAAAGCAATGGCCAAGGATGAGTATCCCTGGAGTGCAAAAACATATAACCAATTGAATGATCAAATGTTCAAGAAAATTTTCAAACTAACCAATTAAATAGGAGGAAATATTCACAGAAATTCATCTGTAAAGACTATTCTGTAGCTGAGTGGGGTGCATTCACATGTGCCATAGTAATATCAAACTCTCAATCATTAAAGTTTTAAAATTTAACCGAGAGCAAACTCAACATAAAGCAATACCCTTCGATCATTTTAAGCACAACAACATAAGCTTCTATAAGTTTTCACAACAAATAAAATTTATCAGTCGACCAACTATCTAACCTCTAGCCAGTGATTTCACAGGATTTTAATGAAAGTACAAAACCATTATAAAGTCAATTAAAAGAAGCATCCTATGACCTGCCTTCAAAGGATTGGAATAAACACCATATATTGAACGATCAAACACTTATCATGTAATTTAAGGAAAAAAATATAAGATTTTGGTTAAGAATCTAACCATATGGATTTGCACGCACTTACAGTATAGATGCCAACTTCAATGCACCGTTTTGCTCCTTGGACCTGGACAAGCATTGCTAGTAGCTGTGCTTGATCGGGGGATACCTATTGATAAAACCGTACCAACAAACATCAATTTAAAGATCAGAATCAATTCGATTCAGACAGACATAACCAATTACTCACCCACCTAAGACCTAGGAAAGAGATAAACCAAATGAGGTTTTACACCTTACTTGCATCTGACTACCCCGCATTGTTGCAGTCTCCTCTCTAAGTTCACGCAATATCTGAAACCAACACAAGATAACTAAAAAAACAGTGAAACGTAGCAACTGGCAAAGAAAACTAACTAATCTTACTAATATATTCATTTTATCATTCAAAACGGTCCACGAATACAGCTAATCACCTCTGGTTCTCTGACATTGCCCAGTATATAATCATACAGTCGTGGAGTAACACTGATAATCTGTTTACCCCCATATTCTGCATTATCAGACACAACTGTATCTACATCTGGTTTCCATGCCCTAATCTGATTGTGCCTCTTAGTAGCCAATGAATTTATAAAGCAATTGGTGAAATGGCGGCAGTTCAATCGAGTTCGAGGCCCTAATATGAAACAAGGATTTGTGAGGATATGAACCCGCACCCAGCTTGACATTAGAGAACGAATTGAGCTGAGTGAGCTGCAGATATTGGACAGTACAAAAGCTATGTAAGGTGAGCAAAAAATTGAGTTAAATTTTACTTTGGCCGGTAGAAATTTCGAGATAATGATTGAAATTCATAGAAATGGCAAAGTGCATTATCACAAAAGCTTTTAGCTAGCAAGATTACAATTTGAAATAAAATCCAAAATACTGACATGGATTTTTTTCTGTCGAAAGCTTGAATTGTTCAGCTCAGGTTTTGCGGTGGCGAGTGCAATTAAGAGAGCTGAGCTAGGGCGGAGATATTGGCGGCGATGGACGGCGCGTGCAATTCAAGACTGATTGCTTAGAGGAATCCGATTGGAGTGTCCGGCTGAGATGGCAACTGGAAGCGACAAGGCGAATTCCGATTCGAGTCTGTTCAGCAAATTCGGGAAGAAATGTTTTACTCCAAGAATACGAGTCCAATTCTATCAATTAAAATTTTAGTTTTTTTTTTTTTAAGGTTTAAGTACATACTATCTAAGAATATACAGTTATACACTATCAAATAGGCCACTGAACTGCACACCAAATTATAATTAGGTCATCGAACTCAAAAAAAAATGCAATTAGATTTCTGAATTATATAAATTCATACAATTAGGTATAAATGACCTATTTACCTGCTACGTAGATTGTGAATTTTAAAAATAATTTTAAACAAAAAAAAATAGAACGGCCGAATACGATTTCGTCTCCGGTCATTCTGTTTTTTTTTTTTTTAATTAATTTTTTGTTTAAAATTATTTTTAAAATCCACAACCTCCACGTCAGCAAAGTATCAGGTAAACAGATCATTTTAGACTTAATTGCATGAATTTGTATAGTTCAGGGACTCAATTACACATTTTTTGAGTTCGATGGCCTAATTACAACTTAGTGTGCAGTTCAGTAGCCTATTTGATCATTATTCCGAGTAATTTATAATTTATAAATCATTAAAAAGAAAAACAAGATTTTTAAGCGTAATTTGATATGCCACAATATATAAATAGTTTATATTCAAGATATAATCAATTGTAATTTTATGTATAATAATACAACATTATACATCAATGCTAAAAAAAATATAATATCATACTGTATTGTAACAGAGTCAATAATATTAAAAAATATAACATCATATACATCAATGCTAAAAAAAATTTAACTTGATTCACACATGTAATGAATTTTTTTTTTATTGGACTATTTTTATGACTATTATTTTTTAAAATTTAATCTCAAAATTTTTAAAACATTGTGACATTTTATCTTATAACTTTTAAAGCATTGGCAGACACATTTAGTTCCGGTGACCAAACTTTTTAGCTGAAAAATATTATAGAAAATGATAATTTTATCCTTCAAGATAAATCACTTGATTATTATGCTCTCATGTTCAATAACATAAAGATATAGTTTTGGTCATGATCATGGATGACGGATCAAATGTGACAAGGTTTTAAAATTCATGGGATCAAATTTTAAAAAAAATTAATATTTATAAATTCATAAATGTGAAAATTATCCAATAATTATGGGACAAAAAAAAATCACCAGTTTTGCGCAATTGACAATTGTTAATCTATTATCACCCTTCAAGTCTTCAACCACTTAGAGTCTTATTAAATTATTAATTTAAGTTATATTGTTGTAGATTTTTTTTGGTTGAGAAAAGAAAAATAAGATAAATTGAAGTGTATTGTGGTAATTTCCTAACATCTCTCTTTTGTTCAGTAGTTTCACCCCCAAATCATGCAGCAATTAGGTCAAAGTAGCACATTAAAATGGCCAGCTAAAGCCTAAATAAATGTAAGTAGTTTACGTACGGCTAGTCTTCAATTGAAGAGCATTACAAAGTAGGCATTGACCAAAACAACCTAACCTCTTTGACACAAGACCGGCTTTCACTTTAATCAACTTTTTAAGAAAGTTATTTTGCATTTAATCATCTAACAACTAATTTACCAAATATCTTTCTACAATCAGCCATGGTTGCAGTAGGCGCTAGGGGCTAGTCGAGTGCCAAAAAAACAGTGACAGACTTGCAGTTTGACAATTTTAATGAGACTGTTTTCAATATTCAATCAAATAACACATCCACATACTATTAACTAGTCAAACACACTAACTCAATCAGCTAACCGCTATCAACTATCAACTATTTACTAAACACCCCTATATGTCTCGGGAACAGAATTTTCAGCTAACAGCTAATTTACCAAATATCTTTCTACAATCAGCTAATGTTATTAACTAATCAAAAACACTAACTCAATCAGCTAACAGCTATTAGCTATCAACTATTTACTGAACACCCTATATGTCTCGGGAACATGATTTTCAACTTCTGGTTTTACTACATTCAAGATGGCATAACAAAGTTGTGGTAGACAAAAGGTGAGAGTATCTCAAATGGAAGAATGCTGCAATTCCTTAACAAGTAAATACCTAAACTCATATCAAGAACCCAGCACATGTTTTGCAAGTCTCTCATAACATGATGTGTTGTTACTTTGATTAAGATCATGAACCCTAATAGTTCATAGTGAAAGAACAAAGTTAATAACTATAATTACGACTCGCCATTACTCTTCTTGATTACCACCTAATCGCTCACCAAATACACAAACCCACACTATAAACCAGATCTTCATAAAAATAAACCCGATTCACAAACATACCATCATTTCTGTTCTCCCAAGAAACACAAGAGCATGGAGAGCACCCCGAAAACCAGTGAGAAATGGAAGCTTTGCTCTTATGCAAGCTTCACGATTAGTTGTTTCGCTCTCCTGCTTTGCCTAAGTTTCAACAGAGAGGTTTTGAGCTTCTGGTCCCTTCAGAACTCCATGATAACTAGAACCCCACCTTTATACAGCCTGCCAGCTCAAGAAAACCCCGAATTCTTGAATGTGGCGGGGAATGGTTATGGGAAGTGTGATATATTCGAAGGGAAATGGGTTTACAAGCCAACGGAGAGCCCTTTGTATGAAGTATCAAAGTGCCCGTTCCTCAGCGACCAAGTTAGTTGCCAGAGGAATGGAAGGCCGGATTCCGAGTATGAAAAATGGAGTTGGGAAGCTAGTGGCTGTGTCGTTCCTAGGTAAGATTAAACGACCTCTTATCTGTTCTCGTATATACCTAGCAAGTGTAGTCTATCTATCTAAAGGCAGTAATTCCCGAGACTCGGTTTTCTTAGCTTTAATGCCACAGATATGTTAGAGAGGCTTAGAGGAAAGAGGGTGATCATCGTTGGAGATTCACTAAACAGAAACCAGTGGGAATCTCTTGCGTGCCTTCTATATTCTGGTATCCCTTCCTCGAGAGCCATTGTTTCGGTTCAAAGTGGCTCCTACAAAGTGTTTAAAGCAAAGGTAGCTAAAAACATAAAACATATCCCTATGCAGAAGATCCCGCATTAATCTCTATCAATTCAGTATCTTACTTTCTTTCTTTTTAGTACTACTGACTCTGTTACAATGTAGTATCTGTTCATAAACCATCCCGAATTTGTGTGTTTCCGTTACAGGACTACAATGTATCTATAGAGTTTTACTGGAGCCCGTTCCTAGTGCAACTTGATTCAAATCAAGATGGTTCTCCGAAGGTTTTGAGGCTAGACAAACTCAACCCATCATCTAAGCGATGGAAAGGAGCAGAGATTATGGTATTCAATACGGGACATTGGTGGGCTCATCGTGGGAAGTTAAAGGCGTAAGCACCCTAAATTCATGGAAATTATGCGTGTTTTAGTACCTTTGGAGGGGAGTCAAAGAATTAACGAAGGGTACCTGCAGGTGGGACGTATTTCAATACAAGGAGAAATTGACAGATGAAATGAGGATCGAATCAGCGTTTAAGTTAGCGATGCAAACCTGGGGGAAGTGGATTGACGACAACATCGATCCAACCGAGACGACAGTTTTCTTTCGGAGCATTTCCCCGGAACACCAAGGTCGGCATTGGTGTTACAATGAAACAAAACCAATCATAGACGTGTCCGGTATGACAATGTTCCCCGAGCCTCTGAGGAAGATTGTCGAGAGAACGGTTTCAAAGATGAAAACTCCCGTGAGGTACCTTAATATAACGAAGCTATCTCAGTACAGAAAAGATGCACATCCTACAATATACGCCAGAAAGAACGGTAAACAGATTATCGAGAAAAAACTTAATCCGGAAGAAACTTACAGTGATTGCAGCCATTGGTGTCTGCCCGGACTCCCCGATACATGGAACAGGCTGCTCTATGCATCCATGGTTTTGGACGGCTCAACTAACCGCCCAAATAGCAAGCATTTCATTTCACATTCAACTAGTTGGATTGTAAACACCAGTAATGCTTAAAATTGTAACAAATTCTTAATCAGATTCAACAAATTATGCTTTCCAGATTGCTAATTAAAGTTTTAGCATCAAATATCGACGCACTATTAGTGGCACGCATTGTAACTACTTTAGAATCAACTTCGAGGAAAAAAAGATATCTTATTGCATCAAATGAAACTGCAACAATTATTCATACCACCACACGATATACTGATGCACAGTGCATCGTTTTCTAATCTTTAGAAATCTCATGGCATTGATCAGAAAAAGAAATACGATTTAGAGTGTCATATATATATATATATATATATCTAGATAAGCTCCCACTCGGAATCAGGAAAATCACTAGCGGAAAGCTTCATGTTTGACTTTGCAATCACATTTTCTTCAGCCTTCCGATTTAAAGGTTGACTTTCGTGTTGTGCTATGAGATGTTCATACTCCCTCGTTGATCCCTTTTTCGAACAAAATGCTTCCCGAATTCTTTTCTGGGAATAAAAAATCGAACTATTTGGTTAATAACACAAATGGACTTATGTTTGCAAACACGAGGGTGGACGGGTGACAGACCTTGTATGACTTATGTTTGACCAGTTGCTCGGGAAAACGGAGCTCGTGGCCTTCAATCACATCAAACGTCTCAACAACATCGGTGTTGCAATTCTGTGATCTTTCTATAGAAAATAATAAGTAGACAGATATAACGTCATTTTTGTAGTAGAAAATTGCATGTGCAAGTGTGCAACCCGAGAAAAGTGTTTGGTAAAACCTAAAATGCACAACTGAGAACATTATGCACATGTAACATTTTATCATACCCAATAACTTCCATATTAGAATTATTATAGGGAAATACTATGGTGCTATAATTTTATATAGAAAGACAATTATATTATGCATATGAACATAAAGTAGCTATGAACAGATACTACATTGTAATAGAGTCAGTAGCATTCAAAAAAAAAAAATTATGCATATGAAATAAGCTCACCAGCAGATTCTTTCTCGATTGTGTTGGTAATGGTTCCTGAGCTGGTCTGATCTCTGTCATCGTTTATATGAGTCCACGCTGCCCCAACAGGAGTTATAGAAAATTATTTAGTTTATTTATAGAAAAAAATAAAAACAGAAGTAAGAAAAGAAAGGAATGGAATTCCGACAAAATTTTATTACACATCAAACTAAAACAAAGTAAATTTATACCACTTGATCTTAAGGATGGGTCATCGAATGAGGAAATAAGTGCAAAATCTTCTACCAGAAGCCCAGAAGATTCAACGGGTGAAGTCGTATCAGAAGCTGCAGCATCTATACTTACAACGGGTATATGATCACAACTCCCTGTTGTAGTTTCTTTAGAAGCACATCCTCTAGCTAAAGAGGTATTACATTCAGAATTGACAAATTCAGCTAAACCCACAGTTATGCGGTCACGTGCCATCAAATAACCTCGTCTATTCTCATAAACCGAAGACATGCTATTCCTCTTCTCCGAAAGTGGAGTTACTGACCCAGACATTTTAAGCAGAGATTGGTCGTCTTTAGAGTTCTCTCCGATCCCCAAACTTTTTCCTCCAAGGTTGTTTTTCCCTGGATATACCTCACAAGGCACACTATTAATGAAAACGCCCGATAAAATTTTAAGCTTCATTAGAAAATGACTAATAACGACTATTCCTACCCTTGGGAACTTCAGTATCCTCTGAAAGTTTCATATCAACACCCTCGGGCTGTTCTATGAGGTTTTCCCTTGCCGTCTTCTCAATCTCATGCTGGGAAAATAGAGACAAATCTTGCATCACTTCGGAATAGAACTTCTTGACACTTTCACCAACAGTTTGCACCTGGCTTTCAATGTAATTAACGGTGTCCTGAAAGGTAGTATAAACGAAGTATAACACAATCAATGGCAATTTGATCGGAGTTCCATGCAAAATTCGAACATCATTGTCAAGAACAAAACCATTCTTTCTACGAGGCAGCTTTTTTGCTTCAAAATGTGTAAAAAGCATACATAGATGAAAGACAAAGACTTCACCTGACACGTACCTCTTCAACCTCCAAGCATAAAGCTTCAAACTTCTCATATATATTTCCAAACCAAGATATCTTTTTCAAATCCATAGCTGAATACTCCGTTGAATCGGGCATAATTCAATGAAAAACACACTGCTCAGGTGCATCAATTCAATAACTATCAGGAACTGATATAAGGGAGCTTGATCATAAGAATATAACAGGAATTCGCCACCAATCAACTCTAAGAGCTTAACTGGAGATCAATAAAATCACAAAATATAGCACATAACAATCTCCAAACAACCCAAAAGAGATTTTAAGATAATAATTTATAATTTAAAAAAAAAAAAAAAAAAAAAAAAAAAAAAAAAAAAAAAAAAAAAAAAAAAACAGCATTTGAGCTTTCTACTCTCCACAGCCACTCCAGAAATCCCACTTACACTCCTAAGATAAATTTCCATACAAATATTCCAAACCCATCAAGCAATTCATTAGTATATCAAAGCATAAAAATTCATTAAGTATATAAAATTCAGAAACTTGATCCTCAACTCGAAACCAGCAAAACCAAACAATTGTGCTCAAACAAAACAATTTTTCAAAAAATTAAAATAAAATTATAAAAGAAAAAACTCCGTAGCTTAAATATATCATACTCAAACTCTAAAACCAAACAATCTGCATACAAATTCTTAGCAAAATAAAAATAAAAAATCAATAGAAGTTAGAGTATGTGCTTGTGGCTGAAAATTATATATAGAGCATGATCGTCAGAATTGAAGCAAGAGAAACTTACCACTCCAGAGAATTATAAAAACCCCGGAAGCAGAAAATCGGAGCTTGAAGGGTCTTATAGTGAATCTGAAAAAAAAAAAGACGATTACCTATATAATATAAGTAGAATCCTTGAGAAGTTGAAAGAGAGTTAGAGAGGTGCGCAAACAGAATTTTCTTTATTTTAACTTCAATCTTTTTCTTCTTTTTTTTTTTTTGGAAAGTCTTTTCCAATATTGAAGTTTTATGAAGTTAAAAATAGATAAATGAAATAGAAGTTTTAATCTAAATTTTTTGTCCTAAATTGCAATATTGGCTTAATGGTTTGGTGAAGAATTTTGTTGGGACTAGTGAAATCACAACTATTATTCCAATGTGGTACTTTCTCAACCTACTGAAACACAAAGAACCAATAACTAAGACTCGAACTCATAATCTTCCAAATGAAAGTTCAACCCGGGTACCATTAGACTACATAGTCTTGGTAACATCATTCCTAGATAATAACATACAAATCACACATACACAAAAATCATAATTTTTACACTGTTGATGTCAAGGTTTGAACTTTTGTCTCTTTTTTCAAATACTGTCTACTGAACCAATGAGCTAAGTCTGTAGGGACAAAAGTCTAAATATTCTGAGGGCATCCCCATTAGCAAATTTATTACAGTTTTTGAGGAGTTTTTTGTCACCCTAAATTCTTAGAAGATAGAGAAGGAAGAGAGATGGGGTTTGAGCTCCTCATGCAAAGACCCAAGATTTTACAAAAATATGGGACCCACAGTAGAAAAGGCTCATCTCGTCATCGACGCGTGAAAGGCACAAAATGCGCCTAGCGGGCGCGTGCACTGCACGTTTATGACGTTGTTTAGCTTCTTTCTTCTTCTTTTTTTCTGAAATCAGCTTTATTCTATTTTATTTTTTCCTTTTTTTTCTTCCCAATTATAGTCTCTTTCTTAATCACAATCACAAAAACCCCTCAAAAATCATTTAAAAAAAATCCATTATTGAGGATGCTTTTGCATGTTTCAACCTTGTTAACCAAAGGTCTATGGGGTGTATGTTTAAATACATCTACTTTTTTTTTTTTTCTATACAGTGAATATAAAATGATGTTGAGTCTCTTCCTTCTTAATCAAAGTTCTATGATATCAAGACACCATTTTGATCATCTCCAATTATGGGATGAAAGTTTTAAAATTTGCTCAAAGATTCACTTTTTTTCCTTTATGAAAATGATAAGATGTATACAATATTTTCATAATTGAACATGTTCATCAATTAAGTGTTTGACATGTAATCATAATTATTATATAATTTAGAAAGATATTTAATTGAAAAGTATTAATGTTATAAACTTGTACTTAATATTATGTATTTGCAGTACCAACATTATTTTTTACTACGCAAAAAATGACATCACTTCTTACTAAAGGCACCGTTTAAATAAGTTACAAAATGTCTATAGAGAGATTAAAGACGCAAAATATCATTGTAACTGCCCCTTGAAGCATGCATGATTATAAGCACAACTCAAGATCATCCAAAAGCATCAGTTTTAACAGTCTAAAAACCCAAAATAAAAAATGAAGGCAACTCCAAGAAATCAAACCCTAATTATAAATTCCCTTTTGACACATAAAAACAGATTGAAAATCCAATCATCTGATCATAGCATCAAAGCATCATCTCTGGCCAGACAAGGCATCAAAAGGATCATACCAATAAGATCAAAGAACAGTTTGAACAAGAGGATGCAGCTAAACTAGAGGATCATATGTACGACTCCAATATATAAGGCATTCGGTGAATGTAAATAAATTCGAGCGTTTTTAGTACAGTCGTATCAGTTCCAATTATCACATTACCCAGCAGCTTGAAAATCCCCAAAGTCATCGTCTTCAACTTCCTGTGAGCGTAGGTTTCCAGTTGATTTAGATTTGCCTGATTGTTCAACATCAGGGGCGGGATCCTTCCCATCAGGAGAGTTATCGAGACTAGATTTGCGGGGTGACCCTGAAGGAGAATTATCTGCAGTAGTAGCAACGGGCGTTAGGGGAGGTGGCGGGAGTTTAAGTAGTAGTGGGCATTCTTTTCGGGCCGCCTTGACATCCAACGATAGATTGTTTAAACTTTGCTCGAAGAACTTTGACCTTATGCTGCTGCCACTTCCAGCTTTCTGTTGTGTCATCTGCAATAAATAAGAACAACAACGCAATTAAAGACAATTTGGAAAATACGAGATTTAATTCTCTCACGTCTTTACATTTTTAAGTTGAAGTACGAGAGTCTCCCCCTCTTTCAAACTGTAATCAACTGATGTCGTTTTCTGGAATTGTTGTTCCATCTCTTCAGCAGTTTTCTTCTTATTTAGGTACCTATCAAGAAAATAAGCGAATCATCATGCTAGTTAACCATATAATCATGTTTCTTGTATGGAAATCCAAGCATTTAGCCTTGTATTTCTACATGGAAGAAAAGGAAATGATATAAGAAAACACGGGAAAATTGGATAGTGTGGAGTCAATAATTACTTCATATGGTCATGAAGGGCAGCTTGGAAGTCATAAGCTTCAGGTCTTTCCCGGAATCCAATGCCAAGAAAAGCATGCCTACGGCGACCACCTACACATTTTTACAACCATTTTTAACAAATCTGAACTGCATAACCTTTACGCATGTCATGTTGAGAATCATCTAAAAGTTCCACCACACGGCTCAATAAGAGAATAATGCAAATGAAATTTTTAGGGAAACAAAGGCCAGTTCCTGTAATAATTGATCTTTCTTCTACTTTGTAGGCAGTGTTGCAAAAATCCCGCCTAGGCACTGATTAATCGACGCCTAGGCGTTAGGCGCTGGCCGGCCACCTAGCGTATCACCATAATCGGTGGTCTAGGCAGCTAGCCAGCTAGGCGGCTGACTAGGCCGCCTAGGCTTCCTAGGCACCCCCGACTAGGCCGCCTAGGCACCCCCGACTAGGCCGCCTAGGCACCCCCGACTAGGCCGCCTAGGCACCCCCGACTAGGCCGCCTAGTCGGCCAATTAGCTATTTTTCCCTTCTTTTTTAAATGGGATAAGATAAACACACAAGTAATACAGCAGGGCAGCATTGTAAATACCAATATTCTCTTCTACTCGGAGAACAAAGTATCTGCAATGGAAAAAAAACAAAAAACAAAAAACAAAAACAAAAAACAAAAACAAAAGGAACGTTAAATAGAAAACTAATACATCATCCAATCATTCCTGTGAGCAGAAAGGCTGCAATAAAATGAACGCAAATCATTTAGATTACAATCTCTCTACACCTGCTACTATCAATCACTGGCTCCACTGGATGAGGCTCCCCGTCTCTCAGGAAAGCCCGGGCATAAAGTTCACCTATTTTAAACATATCAAACTCGGAGATTATATATCAACAATTGGATAAAGCAACGGAAAAACAAGTTATATACAACCGATTTTTCTAATATCAATTAGAGCCAACCCGTTGTCTTGTCTTCAAGTCTGATTATGCATTCTTCTCCTTTGCTTAAAACCTTTAGTGCACCCTCCCATGCCCATTTGTTCACATTCCACTCGTCAGCCCTGTAAGAAGCTAATGGTCAATGAAAACTTGGTGATTTTCCAAAGACTTAAAGTTGGCAATTGAAGAGCTAATATTTCAAATAGCTCAACAAACGATATGGAAAGTTCGGTAATTAAAGAGAGAATTCAAACGCGAATGATGGGTGAGTGCACATTACAAAAATATATTTCAATAAATAAGAAGTGATTATTAGTCAAAACCTGTATGAAGCTGCACTTTTTCTGGGAGGAATCTGTAGAATGGCACGCAACATAAACGTGAGATCACTTGATGACTTAACTCATTGCAATCAATCATCTCCTTAGTCAAGAGAACATTAATTGGGTACTTGGATCACCAGTCAAACTATTAAGCAGTATACCAAAAGATGAACTGAAAGGGAAAAAAGCCTACAATCTCCAGTTAATCCACCTTTTCAAAAATCCCCATTAAGATTTTCCAGCTCAGAATATCAATGATCTAGCCCAGACCTCACAATCTGGAGTAGACTAAAGCAGTAGCACTACCAATTCAAGAATCATTTCAATTTTCAACAGCCTAATCCAACAAGATTGAATCTTTAAAATCACCAAAGTTTCTTCACTTAATTTCTAAATATATTTTAGAAAGCAAACTCCATAACCAAACATCTAAACTCACTAAATTCATTAAACCCGGTTCTCAATTCTGAAACAAAAAATATTCCAAAAACGATAACATATAAGGGATACAGCCATAATTTCAATCTGAATCTAAATCAGTCAGAAAACCCATTGCACATCCTCAATAAACAACCAAAAATACCGCTTGAAAACCCAGAAAGGAGTGAGGTGGGCTTACCAGGTAAACATAGCATTCTGATACTTGAAAGAGAATAAGCTCTATTGCTTCTTCTTCGGACTCTTCTGGTTTCGGGTCTGTGCTCTTTTCTGTCTCCATGATCTAATCAATCTTAGCAGCTTCGCCCAATAGCTGAATTGTGATGAATTGCAGTCGGGAGATCAGTGTGAACACCGGGTCTGATTGGCCTGAATCGGTAAGCAAGTTAGGAATTCCGGATATATCAATTCCTTCCTTTCTCAATTTGTCTATTCTTTTATTTTTTTTCCTTTTATTATTATTTTATTTATTTAGTTTGCTTTTAAAAGAAAAAAAAAGGTTTTATGAATATTTTCATTATTTTTAGTACATCATTATATTTATTTTCTATAAATTTAATTTATAAGTCGATGTTTGTTTACTAACTAATTAAGAATAAATGTATTAATAGATATATTTGGTATTTATATATAAAATTATAAATAAATATCAAATTAAAAGTAATGAAAATAAAATAGATAAGTAATAAAATAAAATAAATGAAATTCAATTATTTGGTTGTTTGGTTGGTGACAAAACCATCAACCATGGCATTTGGTATAGTTGTTTGCACGATTCCCTCTTCCCCCTTGAAATGAATTTATAAGAAAATCATTTTTATTTATTGAAAACAAAAAATCAAGCTCATACAAGGGTGATTGAAAGAGTGCAATATAATTCTTGTATCAAAAAATTATAATGAATTTATTTTCAGTAGAGTTTATTGCACATGGTTCTGTATGTTATTACAAAGGAGTGGACTATATGCAATTTTGTAATTTCAATTTACTTTTAAAGGTGGTGACGGTGTTATCGGGTATGTTTGTAACTCAATAGAATTGTATTACTTTAGAGTATGAGTACAAGTTTTAGAGTGTGTCTCACTTACTGTCACGAGGCTCGACTTTTAAACTACAAAGTATTACGGTTACATAATAATGCAACGGTCTCCTAATAAGTACAACAACTCCCCTCAATAAATGTCATAACTCCTTAATAATTGTTATGTGCTCTAATTAGTGCATGGGCTTTTGCAACTGTTCCACTCGCTCTCTACTCCTGAACGTTACTATTTGACTATCTTCACTGTTTTGACGAGTTACACTGCTCTGGGTCGGGTCCAGTACCATTTCCAATTATCATGTCAGGTGATTCAACTTTCATTTCACTTAAAAATTTATTTTCTTGCACTGAAAATAGTTGTCGAGTAAATGAAACATAACTCTCATATTGGCTAGTACGATTTACCTCACTGATGTGGTACTATTACATAAAAACATAATTTATTTCGTACACACCTCCAATTTGTGTTAAATCTCTCACCACCCTACAAAAAAACATTACTTTCTTTGAACCCAAGCCAAAAATTGAACCAACAGGCAAATTCCAACCAAATATATATGCAGAAACATTTGAATGAGTTACTTTTGACAAAAAATGGATAGTGTGTCAGAGGCTCAAAGATCTCATTCTCAGCACACCACATTTATATGATGGCATCTAAGGTTTCAATAATCTGGGAGAAGATAACAGTGAAAATTTTCTGAACCAAAAAGGAAAAAAAAAATGTTTCAGTAAGGCACAGTGGCAGTCACAGTTCTGTGCCTTGGATCAGTCAAGACACTCTGCACATTAACAAACCCGGCTTCTCTCATCACCCTTTCCAGATCAGTCAAGTAGTATTCGTCGAGAAAAGGCTCGGTGCTCTTCATTAATGTAAACAGCACGGGTGGTAATTCCTGGAAACGAAAAAAAAAAAAAAACAGAATGAACCGTGACTTATGTATCATATGTTTGTTCGTTACTATGATGCGACGAGGAAAACCTTACCTGCAGTTTCTTCGATTTTGGCTGCAAAACAAAGCAGAATATGTTACTATGTTAGGATGAACCGTGGTGTTCAAGTTCAAGAACATTGAAAGTTTGATGATTACCGAGTTGTCTGTAACAGAAAAAGTTCCTCCGGGTCTAAGCAACCGAAATGACTCATTCACTACATTTCGAATTGCTCTCTCGGGGCACTCATGAAACTGCACACCAGTAGAGAAGTATTTGACAAAACGAAAAAATTATTTCACTATGTTCTCAAGTTCATGACATAAGATTGCCAGACAATAAGGCTACATACCACATATGAAATGGAGACGAGGTCGAATGATTTTGAAGGCAAGCCAGTGTCTTCGCCATTCGCATGAATCCAGCGTGTAGGGTTCGTTTTTCTGTCACGATTCTTTTCCTTAAACTGAGCAACGGCAAGAAAGTAAGGCGATAGATCAAGTCCCTGCAGAAAACCATAAGAATATTAAGAGCCCGTTTACTAACTGGAAAAATTTCTCCAGGAGAATTGGAGAACAGAAAACAGAAAACATGTTTACTAGCACAGTTTTCCATTTTGAAAACAGGAAACAATTTTCCCGTTTTCTAGAAAATTGTTAGTACTTACAGTGAGATTAGCAGAAGGATATCGACTGGCTAGACATCTGGTGCTCACACCGATAGAGCATCCAATATCAAGAATGTCTCGGATTGCAAAACATCCTGAATATTGCTTATGATGTTTTTCAATAGCGTCGAGCCAGTTTCCTCGTACAACCTGGGAAGCTTCATCGAGTGAATTGGCATCAGGTATTGCCCGCAACTCCATTGCCATAGTTGCAGGCTCGGCTTCTGCTGCTGCCTGAGGCACACAAAAAGTTCTTAACATCAAATCATCATTTTCTTTGCCAAATCCTAAACTAACTAATGAATGCATTCGACAAAAGATGTTTTAAGACTCGAGGAGCACAAAGTTCTTTTACCAGCCAGGAAAGATTCCCTTCGTCATAAGCGTGAAAAGGACTGAGATAATCTGGAAAAGAAGTTCTAAAATCAGTTTCTCGCAAGAATACCTGATGAGCAGTACATTATGAGTGTTGAGCATATAATATATATAAACATAAATGTGCAATCCAACTATCAGCTTAGACTTTTAGTTGAGATAGAACACATGCTTCAATTATGAGAACAAAGAATGAGGGAATTACAGTCAGGGTATTCAAGAGATTGATTCTGAATGCTTTCCATCTCTTTGTACACATCTGATTCCAGTATTTCCTTTGCCATTTCCCTCCATGGAATATTTGTCTTCTCGGCTGTGCTGTTCCATTCCACCATATCAAAATCAAACCATCATTTCCTTTTCTTCACACAATCATTCAAAGCAAGACACAACTATAATTTCACACATTCATGATGCAACAACATATGCTTTCATAGTATCAAAACAACATTTAATTTGTCGGGACAACCTCAGCCAATTCGGTCAGACTGCTAACTTAGTAACTACTAGGAAACTACACTTTGTTGGGCCACTTGGTAACTACAATTTACAAATTTGACCCCAATAAGGAATTACCTTTTAACTTTCTTGGTTTGAGAGACAGTGCAATCTAGACTGGTTTATTTCCTTGTGATTTTTTGACAGCTATGATCGTTAGGCATAATTTATTATGTGCACACACTCACATAGTGAATGAGGTTTTCCTCATCACCCCCAACAACTAGAACTATCGAAACGGGTTGTTTATTTCGTATTTTAGACGGGCTGAGTTGAAAAATTGTCTAACCCGTCGGGCTGGCTCATTTGACCCGCCAACCCCCCTAACACGAATTGGGTTGAAAAATCTCAATCCGCCTAAAAATCGAGCCGTCTCGAGCCAACCTGTTTCTGTATAAACTCGAGATGGGCCAGCCCGTATGGGTCAGGCGGACCGTTTTGACAACTCTACCAACAACAACAAAAAAACTAGACTTTGCTACATTGTGCTTTGATTCTATTTTTGGGACAACCTGATAAAGACTTGTCTGGCGCCAATCTTAAGCAGAGAGTAGAGAGGCTTGAAAGAAATGAGGGCTCCGACAAAGCGAGACAGCGGCGTTTCGCCGCTCCACCGGGGTCTCTCAAGCTGCCCTTCCTCGTAAACCTCCACCGCGGCCGGCGCGCCGCTTCCGCTTCCTGACGCCGCCACTCGAATGCTGCCGCCGGAGGTTCTCGCCGGCGTTACTCTCTTCAACGGATCATGGATAACGACGGCGTCCTTTGTGGAGGTGAAGAGCGCCGGGTTGAGAGTACTGTTGAGCTTTGAGGTGGCACAGAATGCCATTGCCATTTTAGAATCTTTCGAGTGTACCTGCAAGAAAATGGAATCTTTGTCTTTTTATTCTGATTTCAAGTAACAAAGGAAAATCTAATGATGTTTTGCAACTGCCAGTTAGAATCTAAAACTACAGAATAATCTTATTCTTCAACACCAAAAAAAGGCTTATCAAAGAAATCTTAATTCACCTATCCTAGAATGCCACGTGTGAGATTTGATAGAGGTTTCCTAGTCCACCATTTTTATACAAGAAAAATACTTACATAATTTATTTTCTCCACATAAAAGTATTAAAATATTTTTTTAAAATGTTTTTTATTTGCATGCAGAAATGCAGAACCATATGTATTTTAAAACTAATTTGAATTTGACCCCAATTACACTAAAGTGTTTGACTCGTATAACCATAACAAAATTGATTTTATTAATTATTTGTAAACTTTTCACTATTATAAAAACTCTTTTGTCCTCCTCCGGACCACCACAGCCACAATTTTGTTACATAATTATACATTTCGTGGTGATTGACTCTGTAACATTATTTGTATATTTTATTTCAATGTTTATATATTCAATAAGAGCATCTCCATCAATGAATTTCTGTTAATTTTTAAAATAGGAAAAAATTGAGCAATTGATTTTTGTTTAATGAGAAATATGATTCCCCCCCCCCCCTCCCCCCCCCCTCCGGGGCACGTGTTACCCACACGCTCGCTAGGGCGCTCAAGATTCTTTTTTTTTTCCTTTTCATTTCTCTTCTATTTTTCTCTCTATCCTACGTGGCTTCCTAAAATGTTGGGCAAAAATCAAACAATTGAAGATGCTCTAAGTTATAAGCATTTGCCAAGCACCTTATGCTCAGATGGTATCTGGGTTGAACTTCTATATGAGAGGTTGTGAGTTCAAATCTCAATGAAGGCGTTACATTGTCATAGAGTCAGTAGCATTTTAAAAAATCAAGTTATTAATTAGTATGGCAATTGAAAAATTGTAGGGAGACCTTGTCTTACCTTATCAATAATTAGCATGACAAAGCCTGATTGATATATGCATGCAAGCCGCAGTTGCAAATATATTATATGCTCATAAGTCAGAAGTATTAAGTATATATTAAACCCCCAGTTGTGCAGAATGCAGCCCAAATTGATAGTTGACCCGTTGCAAAATTAAACAATAATATAAGCTTGCAAAATGGGGTGCCCAAGTAGGTAAATCCGCCATGATTATCATACTTAAAGAGTTAAAGGTAACCCAAAAAAAATATATGCAAAATACAATGAACATTATTGGCATGGTATGCAAGGAGTATAAAGAAGAGTCAGTTTGATTGGTAAGTTCTTGTACTGCCTCATCTTTGTTCTCATCATCATCATCATCATCTATCTGCCTTGAAAATCTTTTGTTTCAATTCAATGGATCATCATCTCCCTGTGAAAGCACCAATAAGCCATGAGAGATACAAGATTGAAGCCAAGAATCTGTCCTACAAACTCCCTCCAACGTACGGCAACTTCAAAAGGTTATTAGGTAGGCAGTTGATCAGTGACAGCAACAACCTCAGGAGTAGTAGTACCAGGTATGTTTTAAGGAATGTGAACTGTGAGGCCAATCCTGGGGAAATAACAGCAATTGCAGGCCCAAGTGGGGCAGGAAAGACATCCCTGCTGGATATTCTTGCTGGGATTTTCGTCCCCTCCAGACTTTCTGGCCATGTTCTTGTCAATGATCACCCAATGAAGCCTGCAAATTTTCGGAGAGTTTCAGGTTATGTCACACAGGAGGAGGCTCTTTTCCCCCACCTCACCGTCGAGGAAACTCTGATGTACAGCGCGAGATTTAGGCTTTCGGGGGGGTATGATGATGGTGACAAGGCGAAACAGATTGTTTCTCAGCTGTTGAAGGAGCTTGGTTTGGGGCATGTTGGTGGGGTGAGAGTGGGGGCCCTCTCGGGGGGCGAGAGGCGTAGGGTGTCAACCGGGGTGGAGCTCGTGCATAATCCCGCTGTTTTGCTGCTGGATGAGCCAACTTCCGGGCTGGATTCTGCTTCAGCACTTGATGTTCTGTTGCTGCTAAAGTCGATGGCCAAGAACCGTGCTAAAACCGTGGTGTTAACCATCCACCAGCCCGGTTTTAGGATTCTTGAATTGCTCGATCGAGTTGTGTTGCTATGCAATGGCTTTGCCCTCCACAATGGATCCCAACGCCTTCTCGAAGAGAGGCTTAAGTCCTCGGGGAATCCCATCCCTTATCGAGCCAATTTGCTCGAATTCGCCATTGAATTGACAGATATCCTTGCAGAAAGTCTACAAATCAAAGAAGAATGTGACAATTCTATTGTCAATAATGTCAAAGAGAAGCATAGTTTTCACTCAAATGCTCCACTTAAGGAGGTGTGGATTCTGAGCCAGAGATTCTGCAGAAACATTTTCAGAACCAAACAGCTTTTCTTGGCTAAAATGGTTCAAGCATTGCTCAACGGGGTTCTACTCGGGACGATATTTCAGAATGCTTTTAATCACCCAAAAGAAGCAAAGCTACAAACTCAACTCGGATTCTTCGCCTTTAGTCTCACCTTCTTGCTGTCTTCGAACACAGAAGCCCTCCCGATTTTCTTAGACGAGAGGAGAATTCTGATGAGGGAGACCTCGCGAAGAGCCTATAGGATCTCTTCCTACACAATAGCAAACGCCATAGTTTTTCTTCCTTTCCTATTAGTACTATCCCTGGTCTACACTATCCCGGTGTACTGGCTAGTTGGATTACGTTGCGATTTCAATGCATTCGTGTACTACTCCCTGGTGTCCTGGATGGTTTTCGCGATGGGGAATTCATTCGTGGCAGCATGTGCTGCTCTGGTGCCCGATTTCATCGTGGGAATGTCGTTCCTAGGGGGTATGATCGGGGCGTTTTTCCTCTTCTCTGGGTACTTCATAAACAAGGATGGCTTGCCAAAGTTCTGGCTTTTCATGCATTATTTGAGTCTTTTCAAGTACCCATTTGAGTGTCTTCTGATAAATGAGTATGGAGGGGAGAATGGGAGGTCAAAATGTGTTCAGAGAGTTGATGGAGTGTGTTTGTTGTATGGGAATGAGCTTTTGGAGATGGAAGGCATTAAGGAGTCACAGAAATGGTTCAATTTAGGTGTGATGGCTGCCTTCATTTTGGGATACAGATTTCTGTGTTTTCTGATTCTCTGGTTCAGATCTTACCGAACTAGAAGTTGAATCGTGTATGAGTACTGATAACGTTTGTAAATTCTAAACTTTTATCTGTCTTGAATTTGATGTTCGAATATTCTTACTGTTTTTGGATTAGGGTACTTTGTCTTAGGCGCCGTTATAGAAAGTTTAGATTTTGTGCTCGATGATCTAATAACTAATGAGAAAGTCATTAGGTGAGTTCATACAAGTTTGTGTTGAATTGGTATAATTTTTGTATAGTAATATATGTAAGGGCAACATGATATATTACATTATAGCCTCCATATGACCCTTTTGTGGTTTGATATTTTCATTATTTGCGGCTTTCTCTAATCAACTTGCACCCTCACCTCATGTGAAGTCCTTAATTAACACCCTTTCATGCAACTATAAAGGCCATTGTTAATCTGGGGATTTGGTTGAGTGGAATAAACTCGTCAATTCTTAATTAAACGTCAAGGGTTCCTTGACTTTGGATATAGAACAGTCTTGAATCTCTAGGTCAGCTGTCCCATCCAAAAGAGGTGCCTACAATTCAGGGAAGAGATTAATTTTGGACCCAAGGACGAGCAATGCGATAGAAATGATCCTATGCTCCAATTTCACATTTCGAAAGCCTTAATGATAGAAAATCATGCCCCGAAAGGGGTGTCCGACTGAGTGAAGCATGATTGTCATACCTAAAGGGTACGAGGGTGTCAATATCCTCTCGGTGAAGCCTATCGCACAAAATCTTCCTAGTGCAGTTTAGCTCTTCTGTATAGTTTGCAGGCTATTACATAGGAGTGAGGTTTACCTAATACACACTCTCAGATAATAATTGTGGGTTCCCGCCACGATAAAAAAATGATAGAGAACCATGTTTCAGCACACATGAAAATGTTAGGAGCAGGGGTCCTTATCAGTGACAATGTCATGCAAGGAAATATAAATGTAAGTTGCAATATAAAATTCACCATAACCAAATCTGACTGAGGTTCCAACATTCATAAAAATGACAACATAACAGTTTTGAAGGGAAGACTTTGTAAAACCTCTGCACTATAAAGAAATCCACACAAAAAAAATAAAAAAGGTGGCACCAGCTTGGGATTACATCACACTTAGCATACCAATTGAGAGTATAATATGCAAGTCAAGCCTGCCATGCTGAGATAGAACAACATGAACTACTGTATCTATCATGAACTTCCATCGCTAGAACCGCAAAAGTTTTGAGCTTTTTGTGTGTGTGAATGGTAAGCTATATCTAACACTCGTACTACATTTGGTTTCAAACACTATTTAAGGCTTTGGGATAAGCTCATATGTTACTGCTTAAGATGAGCACAAAACCATAACCTTTGGGTTGACAAATCAGAAGATGGTGCAGTGACATTGATTTACAGACCAAAATCCGTAATCATTATCTGAAGTAAAACTCGTCTTTCTGACACTAAATAGATGTTCTAATAACTAATAATAATTAAATAACTATATATTCACACTATTTTAATCTTATTTAATGAAATCTTCTAACATAGATGATAGATTATTACTGCATTCCTAATATTTGAATGAAAAATCTTCAAATAAAGTTTGCTACTTCCAACACACATTGTTGTTATTTGTTAAAGACAAGTTGCTCATGACCATAGATAAATTATGCAGATAAATATAGAGTACAGTGCAAATATTTTAATGGTTTGAAGGACAGCAATGGCAGCCAACTCTTGTAAACAAATTTGCATGGACATATATATATATATATATAAATATGTGTGTGTGGGGGGGTGTTTTCTATGACACTTGGCAGTCCAATTTTACGCTAATTTAGCTTGTGCAAATCTTAATGTTGTGGCCTGTGGGTCAACAATGGCAAGGACCATTCACTTTCACCTTAAATTATTTGTCCTTCAAAGACTGTGCTGTTGAATAATTAATTAGCATCATTGTCTTTTCTTTCATTGGAATGACTAAAAAAAATTATATAAGATCGGAATTTACCTAATGCATACAATCTAGTAATCGCGGTAAATATCACTGTCACAAAAATAAAAAAAAAATTAAGGGATAAATGTCAAATAGACCCCCCAACTATATACCAAAGTTCAATTAGACCCTCAAACTAAAAACACATCCAATTAAACCCTTAAACTTGTTAGATTTGTGCAATTAACTTATTAACATGTTACAAAAAGGTAACCTGTAAACTTTGCTTACATGGCTTCTGAAATTCTATTTAAAAATTAAAAAAATGTAAACTAAATTTTTTAAAAACTATTTTTTTAAAAAAAAAAATCATCTCCGTTTAGCTTTTTCGAACTGCTATGGCAGCCAAGCTGCTTGGCTGTCATGGACGACTGCCAGGCAACTTGGCTGCCATGGCGGGCTTCTACAATGGACAAGAAGCCATGGCAGCAATTGCCATGGAGATGCCCCATGGATTCTTTGTCCATGGCAGCAGCTGTCCATACAAGAAGCCATGGCAGCAGCTTCCATGGAGTTGCCCCATGGATTCTTCGTCCATGGCAGTAGCTGCCATGGTAAACTTTTTGTAAATAAATATTATTATTTTAATTTTTATAAAATATAATTTTTGAAAAATGTTAATCTAAGTGGCATCCTATGTGGCTTGTGACCTAGAAGTAACATACTATTATAAGTCAAATAGGTTAATTGTACAAATTTAACAAGTTTAAGGGTCTAATTAGAGATTGTTTTAGTTTGAGGGTTTAATTACACTTTGATTTATAGTTAGAGGGTCATACCCTTACCCAAAAATTAAAAACATTTATCAGATGATGACTCATTTAAAGCTCCAAATGGCCAAGTGCCACTATTAAATTACACAAATATAATAATATTCAAGCCAACTACTTTAATTACTTTGAGTGTTGGTCTCTTCCTCTCTAAATTTGTCTCTTTGAATGCTACCCTTTCGATTTGTCATCTTTTGATACTTGAAATAACTTACAAACAAACAACACAAAAAAAAAAAAAAATTGTCAAATAAGCCCCCAAACTTTACCGCCGTATATAGCCGTTGTCGGTCTCCAGAATTAAAATGACCTGTAATCACAGGTCATTTACCAGTTCATGAACTTCATTGACTTAAGTTGACATGTTTGAGGGTTTAATTGCACATTTTTAAAGTTCAGGTGCATAATTAACTTTTGGTGTAAAATTTATGGGCCTATTTGATCATTTTCAAATAATAATAATAATAATAATCAACAAGGTGTAAAAGAAATGAGAATAACAAATTTATCAAAATGCTAACAATGTTCCTAAAAAAAAAAAAAAAAAAAAAAATCAAAATGCTAACAACATTAAAAAGTTAACTCAAAGCAAGAAATGAAAAGTAAACAATGTTATGATATCAAAAGAATCAAAGGGTGTGTTTGGTTCGCACATGTGAATCGGAATCGGAATGAGAATCAAATACTTAGTAATGAAAATAAGTTTTGGTACAAGTATTTTGCATATTTGGTAGTATAATGGAATAAATGGTTTTAAAAATACAATAACAAAATATCAATGCAATTGATTATAATATAATGACATCCAAAACACCTATATGAACAAAAAAATCAAAACGAAACCTAAAAGTACTAATTTAAACTTAAAAATTAGATTATTGTTGTAAATATTAATACAACACATTATCAGTACTTTGCTCTACATTCCCAGTAAATCATTCCCTGATGATCAGATCGCTAGTCATCCTTGCCAGATCTGATTCTGAGTCTCCAACAGTCAATTTCATTGTCCTCTGGCAGATCAACCAATTACGACCAATCACTAGTGTTTTACACAAATCCTTCATCAATGTATGCATGGTGATTGTGTTTTACGGTGAAGAGGATTTAGTCTCGTATTGTTGCCGGGTCTGCCGCTACCACACCTCTTGTCGCCGTCTGGTTTTCCGATTGCTTCAACCCGCGAAATAATTCCGTCGAGCGAACCACCACCATGGCGAATCTCGAATGCAGTTCTGTCGCCGCCGCATCTTTTCCTCGCTCCTCTCAATTGGACCGCGGCAAGCCACCACCGCGATCCAGTTATGGTTGCGATTCAGTCAACATCGCGGGAGGCTCCTCCGATGATTGCGTCAATGAATGGGCGATCAGAGGCCACTTTTGGAGTCAGGGAAGGGTCGCGGACAATTCCCGCTGCTCAGATCGCGGATTGACGATCGTCAACTGAGTCTGTTGCTGTGTCGGAGTCTTCGACGTCAATGGATGTTGTTAGCGGCGGAAGCTCGCTGCTGACTTCTGCTCGTCTAGGTGCCGGAATTTCACCAGGGGTGGTTGTGTGGCAGGCCGCGGCGGCGGAGAGCGGTATGGAAATGGCGACAGAAAGAGGAGGAAATGCAGCGCTAACGGAAGCCACCAAATGAGTTTAAATTCCTTTGCTCCTTCGATCAAGCTCAGCGCGACGCTGTGGCCGCAGGCATACTGATTCAATTATTGCTGCTCGTCCAAAGCGAGCGAAACGTTTCTGTGACGGTCTCAATAGACTACTATCAAGGGGGCTGTGGGAAGGAGACGAAGCCCTTCATCGCATTTCCACCTGTGATGTATGACATTGATGGTGGTCGGAGATATGACCTTACTCCGGAAAGGTTAGCTTACGACTTTTCATATTAGATGTGCGTGGAGCTTTTATCATTCCTGTAGGGTTATTTTGAAAGAAAGAATCCTAATTTCTCCACTATGCTTCCCCACAACTTTAAATTCAAATTCGAATTAGCTTTAATTTGCTGATTTCATGCATAAAGTTCCTTTGCTTTATGATTTGGTGGTCAAGTGCATGCTTTTGTGTTGCGTGTGGGGTTCTAGGTTCTCTGCCACTTCCTGAAAGGCTAAAGCATTTGCATTCTCAACAAATATATTTATACATGCATATATATGGTAAATGTTTGTTATGCGTAAATGGTTGTTCTTCCCTTAAAAATTATTTTAGTCCCATGATTAAGACTTGAAGAGCGATCATCATTACGTGGTAGTTTGTTTCTCTATAACCATTATTTAAGTGGGAAATATGCCATATGCCTTTGCACCCTATTGATGTTTAAATTTCAATGAAAGCATAAGTGAAACATATGATATTGTGATGATGTGTTTTCTTGATGTGATCGTGCCGAAAGGTTTATATATATGATTTGCAAAGTTGATCATTTGGTAATGTACTCTACAACATGATAATTAACAAGGTGGTACTTTATTAGAATGCACCTTTGTGATCTCTATTATATTATTGATAGATAATGATATCTGCATTTTAATAGTTGTC